TTGACCATCCTACTCTCGTCCGATGATCATGATCAAGTGCAAGGAGGAGGGTCATATTGAGGGCGGTTTTTCATACTTTTTTCTTCACTACTAAGTCAACTAGCACAATGCACTCCTGTTTTTGAACTCTGCTACCTATGATGTGCAGTCGCGAGAAGTGCCTTTAAAACAGAAGTCAGATGTGTGGCACATCTCGGAAAGGAGTCGGTGGACGTCAAGCAATTCATTTTCATGCTAGTACAGTTCTTCAGAAATGAAAAGAGGCTACAGGCTGACCTCATTCTTGTAAGATTTTTTTGTAATAGCTCTTGCAGCATAAAGTTGGCTAATTTGACACAAGTTCGGAGTTGAGCTTACCTCTTTGCTGTTGAATGTTGCTTTCGTGTTTGAGACGAGGTCAATTACGGAAACGTCGTAGTTCTTGCGGTTGCCGAACCGATCAAACTCGATGGTGCCGGTGAGCGTACCTTGTTTCGAATCGATAGACATCTGAAATTCCGCGTCTAACCGCGTGCAGGGTGGGCTGAGCTGTGAAAACACTAACCCCTCTCAGGGCTTTTGTCACGGTCCTTCCATGTTCGAACGAGGCGAACGGCCTAGCCGGATGGATTCGGTCCGCCAATGGATCGCAGTAAATTCCTGAAGATGTTCCGGAATAAAAGTGTTCAGAAGAAGGGGTGAACCTGAGCATACCTGGATATCCTCTGTTGAAGAATCGTCCGTGCCGGAACGTTCCGTGGAACAGCGAATCATTACTGGCCAGGCATTTGGAGAAGCCGGTCCAGGCCACGAGCATCGCATCATAGGCCAATGCACCTCTACTCTGTTGCAAGAAGCTTTCAATAAAGGGCACGCCGTACGTTGGGGATCCTCAGTGGGGGGGGGGGTTCGTAATCGGTTGCTGGAAAGAGGGGGCGGCGTAATGTCTGCCTTGAGGTGAGACTTCTAGTCGTTGACCTTTCTCGGTTATCCTCGTTTCGCGCGCGTGTTATATCCCTCTACCCCTGCTCAAGGTAGTTTTTCAGGGCACGTCATCGTTTGGGATTCCTCAACAGGGGCGGAGATCGTATTTGGAAGCTCGGGGAAGGGGGGGTGTCAAGCCACTAAAGACTCGATCAAATTCCCCAACTAATGATGTGCCCCATAGTTCTTTTACAGAAATAGTAAAAGGGGATTAGTTCTTCAAAAAAGAAACCGAAAAAGTGCTAGAAAGTTGGGAACATTGAGGAAGATAGTAGGTTGCTTAGGTGATGGGAAGGGGAGGGGTCGTACCAGAACGGGAGTTCTAAGGAGGGTCGCATTTTGCAAAAATTTCCCCCTACGGCAGGACGTGCCCCGTTCACCAATGGTCAGTCAGCAGATCGCAGATATCATGTGACTTACATCAACGTCATCGTAGTTGTTGATAAAGTTGTCATCCAATTTTTTCAGGTGCTTCTTCAAATTCCAATAGGCACGGCTCTCCTTATTGATCAGTTGGAATCCGCTTATATTGATGTTTCCATTTTGAAACATTTCGACGTCATATGGCAGAAAGTCCTGAAAATTCGAAACTATGGGACGTCTGGCCATCTGTACTTGGCGCAGCCTGCAGTCGCGCGCAGGTATACATCTCTGAGAATCGGGGAGGGTATTTGAATAGCTGAGGGGGGGGGGGGGAAGAAGAGAGGGAGGTCGTATCCAACGTACTGACTGACCTGCTGAAAGCTGCCTATGTTAGCGCAAAGAGGTGTTCAGAAAGAGAGGGAAGATTTTCATGCGCCCCTACCCTACCAGACAACGAGCCCTTCCGGGATTGTCTGATAAGATGTCCTAATGGAAAGAGTGGTGTAGTGAAAGCCTCGGTTGAAGCAAGAGGAGGGCCATGTTGGGGATGGCAGTGGTGGGAGAGGAATGTCGTGCTTAAGCGACCAGCACTCCTCATGGTCATGACCTTACGTGTTGAGAGCTTTTTCAAAAGTATTTGCCTAGCCGATGCCATGACCAGACTCCTCCAGAAGCAATGAAGCACTGATTCGTGCTAGCGCCCATAAAAGTGAATATGTAAGCCATGTGCCGCCTCAACTCTGAGTGAAAGTCGAATGTGTGGCACACCCTGCCAGAAGACACAGCCAAGAAATTCAAGTGCTCCGTTTAGCAAAGCACCCAACTTCAGCTGCATAGTTCAGATGCTGGAGTATGGTAACATTGCTAGTGTCCTTACGAAATTAGCGACGACATAGTGATAGTTGGCTTGACTGAACTGCGCCGTACGAACAGCTGCCAGAAATTTTTGCTGTCGAGACGATGATGTGGTGTCGATGAGAATCCTTAAAAAGCCCTTGATAAGCTGGGAATCTTGTTTCATTACTGAGAAGCGTACCTGTTTGTGTGGTTAGATCGCCTAAGGTTGAAGTTTCTGAGGAAATCGCTGAATTTAGCTGGATCTCTAGGTAATTCCAACAATTGAGCTCTCGTTGATGTGTTCGACTTGCGATGCAGATGATGCCATAACCAGGGCAGTGACACACCGGCTAAAAATGGAACTTCGTTGAGCAAGACTCGCTCAGTACTTCTCGGTCCATTTCGATGTTTTCATTACACAAAGCGGGGATTGTCTGCGTACTCCTACTCAACATTCGCCGAAATAGCGTCGCAATGACACAGTGCAGATGATTGGTTGGTACTCTCTCACTTATCACTCTCTCTCCTAGAGGCTACAACTCTGTGGGCTGAACCAGCTTACTACTTTACTGGATTCCTCTTATGGTAAGTTTTTCACGGATGAGTGGCTAGGTTCGCAGGAACCCTTTCTGAGGAAACCGTCATTTCTTTCCAACGGGATTTACACCAAGGGAATTACGAGTTGTCGCGAATAGTGGTTAGGAGACCCGCACTGCGGCGACGTGGCAAGGAACGTCGCGCTATGCTCAGCAGCGTCAGTCGTATATTCGTGACCTGATTTGTTGGGCAGCTCTCCACCGTGCTCGCTAACATTTGAACTTGTGCACTAACTACTTATGAGGGGCACTTCCAGCTTACATTTGATAT